CCCGTGCGCCCCGCGTCCGTCCCGGAACACCCGCGCTCCCAGCAGCACCGGACGCGGGCCCGAGCGGGGCGCCCGCCGACCGGAAGCGGCCCTTGAGCCCCGGCGGCCGCGCGGTCGGCCACGAGGGCCTCGGGGGGACCCGGCTCCCCGCAGCCGCCGGTCCTGGGGTCTCCCCCACGGCCGAGGCGCGGCCCCGCCGCCAGCGTCGCCCCGCACCCCGCTCCGCCTCGCGCGCCCAGCCCCGCCCCGCCCGGGCCTCACCGGCAGACGCGGCACGATCTCCACCGAGCAACAGTGGCAGAAGTAGCGCCCGGGCCGCGGCGCCGCCTCGGCCATGGCCGCCGCCGCCGCCGCCTCCGCCCGCCGCCCGCGCGGCGCCGCCGCCGGCCGTTTTCTGCTCCCCGCCGGCCGCACCGCGCCCGCGCACGCACGCAAAGCACGCACGGCGCGCAGCGGGGCGGGGCCTGCGTGGGGGCGTCGACGGGGCAGGAGCCGAGGGGGCGCGGCCTGAGTGGGCATGTCACTAGGACTGGTGCTGTTGGGGGTGGGGCCGGAGCGCATGGGCGGGGCCTGCTTGGGGGCGTCGCCGGGGCAAGCGCGGCAGGGGGCGGGGCCGGAGTGGGGACGTCACCAAAAGGGCGCCGTTGGGAGCGGGACTGAGGCTCAGAGGCGGAACCTGCGAGGGGACGTAACAAGAAGGGCGCCGTCGGGGGCGGGGCCTACCTACTGCCTTCACCCTGGCAACCGCCGTGGGTGTGGCCGGAACGCAAAGGGGGCCTGCGTCACCTGGGCAAGCGCCGTCGGGGGCGTGGCCTGGTCTGAGGGGCGGGGTCTGGGCTCAGCGCGGAAGGCGTCCTCGAAGCTTCGACTGCGTGTTCGGCTCCCCGCGCCCCTTCCCTGCTCCCCGCGCCCCTTCCCTGCTCCCCGCGCCCCTTCCCTGCTCCCCGCGCCCCTTCCCGGCTCCCCGCGCCCCTTCCCCGCTCCCCGCGCCCCTTCCCCGCTCCCCGCGCCCCTTCCCCGCTCCCCGCGCCCCTTCCCTGCTCCCCGCGCCCCTTCCCTGCTCCCCGCGCCCCTCCCCTCCCCGCCCTCCCCCCGCCCCTCCCCGCGCCCCGCCCTTCCCTGCTCCCCGCGCCCCTTCCCTGCTCCCCGCGCCCCTTCCCTGCTCCCCGCGCCCCTTCCCTGCTCCCCGCGCCCCTTCCCCGCTCCCCGCGCCCCCTCCCTGCTCCCCGCGCCCCTTCCCTGCTCCCCGCGCCCCTTCCCCGCTCCCCGCGCCCCTTCCCTGCTCCCCGCGCCCCTTCCCCGCTCCCCGCGCCCCCTCCCTGCTCCCCGCGCCCCCAGCCCCCTCCCCGCGCCCCTTCCCCGCTCCCCGCGCCCCTTCCCCGTTCCCCGCGCCCCTTCCCGGCTCCCCGCGCCCCTTCCCCGCTCCCCCGCCCCTGCCCCGCGTCCCCCCCAAGTCCCCTCCCCGCGCCCCTCGCCCCTTCCCCACTCCCCTCGCCCCCCCGAGTCCCCTCCCCGCGCCCCTTCCCGACTCCCCTCGCCCCTTCCCCGCTCCCCGTGCCCCTTCCATGCTCCCCGCACCCCCTCCCCATCCCTTCCATGCTCCCCCGCACCCCTTCCTGGCTCCCTGTGCCCCTTCCCCGCACCCCTCACCCCTTCCCCGCTCCCCTCACCCCTTCCCCGCTCCCCTCACCCCTTCCCCGCTCCCCTCACCCCTTCTCCGCTCCCCGTGCCCCTTCCCGGCTCCCCGCGCCCCTTTCCCGCTCCCACATGGTCCCCACTGCTCCCGAGTCCACCATGCACACCTCGCATTCACATCCTGTGAGTGTCCCTGGGTGTTCCCCGAACACACATCCACGGTTCCCATGTAGTTCTGTGGTGGGGCTCCTGCGTCCCCATTCCCTCCCCACTGGGGCAGCTGGGAACCTGGGACCCCTGGCCCTTCCCTTAGCTGGGCGCACCCCACATCTAGCCCACATTGCTGGGCTGGCCAGGGCACTAGACAAGGGAGAACGAGGCCCAGCTGCCCACCATGATGGGGGGCCACGGGAGACCCTAATTCTGTAGGCTTCCAGTGGGCACCCAGCACAGCCAGGGCTGAACCCAGGCAGGCCTGGGCATTTGGGCATGGGGCACTCCACCCCCAGGGCCTTACAGAACGCCAGCTGCCAGGCTGACCAGACGGCACCCTCAGACCTCCCTGGGCAGGGTGCCCCTCTGTTTTCATCACTGCAGGGCAGGGAGGAGCCGGCCCTCTAAGCCTTGTTGTAACCATCTGTGAAATGTGGGTCCCCCAGCACCCCATGGCTGACTCCTGCTGTGCCTTGGGGTCCTCCCCTCTCATGTGGAGAAGCAGGACAGTTCCCCACACCCTCCTCCAGAGCCTGGCTGGCGGCAGCAGCTGGGTGACCCCTGCTCAGCGCTGGGGCCCTGGACACGGGCCTGGTGGAGACACTTGTGGGTGTATGCTTTCGTCTTTGTGATGCATACTTGTGCTTGTGTGATAGGCAGAGGGGGGGCTTTCATCTGTTGGGTCACACCCCCAAAGTCCCCCAACAACAGCTAGGCCTGGGCCAGGGGCCCCAGAGGGCCATCCAGGTCCTCCACGAGGTACTGGGGGCCAAAGCACCTGGCTTGAGCCGCCTGCCCTGGCGCTTCCGGCCCCATTTCCTTCCATCTCCACCCCGACCCAACCCGTGTGCAACCTGACTTGGGCGTCTGGGTTTTACTTTGGGTCCCTTTGGGTTTGGGTGTTGCTGGTCCTTGGGCGCGGGGCTCCTGCTCACCCAGCAGGTGTAGGGAGCAGAGGTCCCAGCTGGGGCTGGGGGATCCCTCTCTCACCCTGGGGAACACAGGAAGAGGACAGGATTCCTCCTGCATAGCACTCCACATTTTTGTTTGTTTCTGTCTGTTTGGGAGGCTGGCTCGCTCCCCAGATGCCTGCCACAACCCCCGGATGGGCTGAGGCCAGCAGCCAACAAAGCCATCCAGCCCTCCCACGCTGTGGCTGGGGGCCCAAAATGGGGGCCCTCACGGCTGCCCCCCGAGGTCTGCGTGGGCAGGGGGTTGAGCTGGGCCCTGAACCACAGCCCACCTGCTCACTCCAAGTCCGGGAAGTTCCAAGTTGCAGCAAAGATGCGAGAAATGGAGGAGACGGAGTGGCCGGCTGGTTGCTCATCGTTGCCCAGCCCTGGGGCCTTGTCCTCAGGCCCTGGGGGACCTGGCCACAGCACAGGGCAGCACAGGGGTCACCTGCCTCGTTCTCAATGCCCCCTTGGCACACCACCACACACCCGTGGGCAGCCCACGAGGGTTCTTTTTCTGTTCTATGGAGGCCACCACAGGGACTTTGTGGCCTAAGGGATATGGGACAGCCCACCCTGGGCCCCCTGACCTGGCAGAAGTTGGCACTTAAGAGTGCAGCCCGCAAGCCTCTGTCAGGGGAAACGCAGGCCTGGGTGCACCTGCTCACTGAGCCAGTCCCTCAGCCTCAGGTCCCTCTAGAACAGCAGACAGGCTCACCCGCAGCAGCCCAGGACATGCCGGAGGCCCCGTGGATTGCTCAGGGGCCTGGGTTGGGCTGCTTCTAGGGCTGGGGCCAGTGGTGACCCAGGCTGGCCCGGCCTCAGCCATGCTTCCCCAGCAATGACCGGCAGGAAAGGCCAGTTCCAGGCAGGCTTCAGCTTCCAGCTTGCCCCAAGTCCTGGGTTTGTGTCCATTTTACAGAGAGGAAGGCAGAGGCAGCACCCCCAGCTGAGAGTCATGCTGGGTACTCAGCCAGGCACTGCCATGTCCCTCCAGTCCAAGTCCTCCCAGTCGCCCTTCATGCTGGACACAGGAGGAGGCTGGGGCTCTGTCTGTGCTGGTCTCCGCTGCAGCCAGCTCCGGGCAACCTTGGCGTAGGCCATCGCCATCCAATCACCACCATCAGGGTCTGGGCAGGGTGGCAGAGTTCCTGGGGCGGCTGCGGGGGGTGGGTGGGGGCTGGCTGCAGAATGAGCCTGGGCCTGAGGGAGGGGGAATAGGGTCTGAAGAGCAGCCCCTCCCCACAAGGCTGCCATGGAATCTTATAAGCACTGGCCACTCAGCCTATAACCTCGCTTCCTCCCCTCCCCACCCCAGCCACGGTGGGGGTCAGGCCTTGGCCAAGGTCACCATCCCAACGAGCACGGTCAGTGAGGACACAGGGGCCCGGCCTGTCCGATGTCCTCCATGCTGGAGAACATCCAGGCAGCAGGGGCAAGGTCAGGCGAAGACAGCCGAGTCCTCTGCTGACCACAACAGGGGAGTCGGGGTGAAGGGGAGGTCGGGGTGAAGGAAGGGGCATGGGTGTGGCCCCCCAGAGGAGCCTGTTTTTACTTGGGAAAATGCAGGGTGGCAGGCAGGACCCCCACCCTCCGCTCCTTCATCTTCCCACCAGTTTCACGCAAACTTTTGTTTTGTTGTCTGTCCTTCCTGCAGAGGAGTCTGCCTTGGTCACCATGGCACCCAGCACCCCAGGTCCAGCTGCACCCAAAGAAGCTCATTACTTCTCACAAGACCTGGACAGAAGGGTTGGGGATGGGGGTGACGAGTAGCTAGCCCAGCCCCTATGGATGTCATGGCTGGCAAGGCCCCTCCCTGCTTGGGCACACCTTGGGGAGGGGGGAGGCGGTGCAGCACCCAGGCAGGGTCTGGTAGAGGACAGGGTGCTGTAGCCTGGGGCTGGCGCAGGGCGCTGTGAGCTTTCACTGCCAGCGCCCTGCCCCTTTGCTTGCACCCAGCTGTGCCCGGGCGCTGCACGCTGCTCGGGCCAGTAGCTAGGAGCAGGAGCCATATCCAGACAGAGCCCTGGGGGCAGCAGAGGGGGGCCATGTGAGAGGCAGCAGTACCCAGCCACCTGTGGACCCCACTGCCGCCCCACAGAGTGGCAGTCGGAGCCGCGGGTCAGCCGCAGACACCCCAGCTCCCCTCCACCACCACCACCCCGCCACTAGCGCCCCGCCCCGGGCCGGCCCCGCCCCGGCTGCGGCCAGCGGGTCCTTTATAGGGCAGCGCTCCGGGAAGCCTGGGCCGCCGCCCTCCCCAACAGCCCGCGACCGGCTCAGCTCCGCCATGCGTCCCGGGGCGCCCGGGCCACTGTGGCCACTGCCCTGGGGGGCCCTGGCCTGGGCCGTGGGCCTCGTGGGCTCCATGGGCTCGGGGGACCCCAAGCCTGGTGAGTGGGGCAGCCGGAAGCGGCGGGCGGGGGCGGGCCACCCACGTGGGGCGGCGGGGAATGTGGCCCCCGGGGGTGCCTGGGCGCGGGGGTGGCCTCGGCGAGCGGCTGGGGATGCGGAGCTTGGCAGGCCTGGGCGCGAACTGGGCGTCAGGGAGGGGAAAAAGGTCCACAGCGGCTAGCAGTCACACCGGGTGGATCTCCATGGCGGTCCCCTGTCGGGGGCGTCTCCTCCCCCCCCACATGTCTGACTGGACACAGGTCCACAGAGCCCACAAATGGCACAGCTGTGATTTGAACCCAGGCCACCCCGGGTGGGCGGTGGCATTAGCCCCCCTGCCTCAGTTTCCCCACTGCCCCCGAGGACAGGCCAGACCTCAGGGTTCCAAGCTCCAGACTGGACACCCAGAGCCCAGGGCTGGGGTGCACCCACTCCCCACCCCCCGCTGAGGGCCCCCTCCCCGAGGGCCGCGTCCCCGGGGAGAGGAGGGTGAGCTCATGCACGGAGAATGTTCCCAAGTTGGAGTGAGTAAGAGGCGGGCCGGCGGGGGGGGGGGGGGTGCTGCCGGGCTGGGGGCTCCGCGTGCCCGCGGGCACTGTCTAGACAGAGGGCAGAGGTGGGAGACGCCGCCCAGGGGGCCCGCTGACCCTGACACGCGCCGGGCAGGGTGCCAGGCCCAGGCCAGCTGGGATGGGGGTGGGCGGGAGGAGCTGGGGGGACCCCTGGGTGCCACGGTGCCATGGTGCCGATGCCTGCAGGAGGCGTGTGCTGGCTGCAGCAGGGCCCGGAGGCCACCTGTAGCCTGGTGCTCAGGACTGAAGTGAGCCGAGCCGACTGCTGCGCCTCGGGCAGTGTGGACACCGCCTGGTCCAACCTCAGCTACCCCGGGGACAAGATGAGCCTCCTGGGCCTGCTGGGCCTGGTGCACTGCCTGCCGTGCAGAGGTGAGCGCCCAGTGTGGGGAGCCCCAGCTACCCTGCACACTCAGCCCCCAGCGGGAACTGCCCCCAGCTGACCGAGCTGTCCGGTCATGGTCAGCCCTGCAGTCAGGCCCTCAACCAGGCGGGAGTAGGGGGTGTGGGGGGGTCTTTCCAACCAGCCCGAGGCAGCCAGGGGGGTGGGGGCGGCCCAGGGGTCAGGCCCCGGGGTGGTGGGGCCAGGCCAACTCGGGAAGGTGATGAATCCCAGATAGCCTGGCTGGGTGGTCCCTGCAGACACCGCCCTGGCTTGGCGGGCAGACATCAAAAAAGGGCCTGGATGGGGGCTCCCCCACCTCCCAGGAGCGATTCCAGATGTGCAGGCGGACAATGGCGGTGTGCAGCGTGGGGGGGGGGGGCACCCAGGTGCGGCCCACAAGCACATTCACGCAGCTCCTCTCCGCACATCTCCCCACCTCACCGGGTGTGCGTACCCCCAGGCTGCAGTTCCCCAGAGCAGGATGTGCGCCCCGACCCCCCGGGAGGCTGTAGCTCCCCAAAGCTGGGTGTGCGCCCTGGCCCCCACAAGGCTGCAGCTCCCCAGAGCGGGGTGTGCGCCCTGATTCCCCAGGGAGGCTGCAGCTCCCCAGAGTGGGATATGCGCCCCGACCCCCCGGGAGGCTGCAGCTCCCCAGAGTGGGATATGCGCCCCGGCCCCCCCGGAGAGGCTGCAGCTCCGCGCTGCCCCAGCAGGTCCCCGGTCCCAGCGGCAGCTCGCTGAACCCGGCGTCCTGTCTCCGCAGATTCGTGCGACGGCGTCGAGTGCGGCCCGGGCAAAGCGTGCCGCCTGCTGCGGGGCCGCCCGCGCTGCGAGTGCGCGCCTGACTGTGCGGGGCTGCCGGCGCGTCTGCACGTCTGCGGCTCCGACGGCGCCACCTACCGCGACGAGTGCGAGCTGCGCGCCGCGCGCTGCCGCGGCCACCCGGACCTGCGCGTCATGTACCGGGGCCGCTGCCGCAGTGCGTGGGGGCTGGCTTGGGGTGCGGGTATGGGGCCTGGGGTGCGTGTCCTGGGACGGTCCTGAGGTGCAGGGGCGGGGCGCTTGTCTGGGGGCATTCCTGGGATGTAGGGGCAGGGTTTGTTGTGGGGTGGGGTAACTTGTCTGGGGTGCGGGTGCGGGGCTTTTGTGGAGTAGAATGAGGTACTTGACTTGGAGGCTGTCCTGGGGTGCAGGGGCGGGGCTTGTTGTAAGGTGGGGTGCCGTGCTTGGCTAGGAGTCGTCCTGAGGTACAGGGGCGGGGTGCTCGTCTGGGGGCGGGCCTGGGTTGCAGGAGCAGGGTTTGTTGCGGGGTGGGGTACTTGGCTGGGGACGTTCCTGGAGTGCAGGGGGGCTGCGCGTCACCCGAACACCGGGGTCCTCATCCCGTGGCCCTGACCCGCCCGCCCACAGAGTCGTGCGCGCACGTGGTGTGCCCGCGGCCGCAGTCGTGCGTCGTGGACCAGACGGGCAGCGCTCACTGCGTGCTGTGCCGGGCGGCGCCGTGCCCCGCGCCCTCCGGCCCGGGCCAGGAGCTCTGCGGCAACGACAACGTCACCTACGTGTCCTCGTGCCACCTGCGCCAGGCCACCTGCTTCCTGGGCCGCTCCATCGGCGTGCGTCACGCGGGCAGCTGCACAGGTACGGATGCGTGGGCGGACCCCGCAGGGCGACCCCCCGAAACGCTCACGCGCCCGTTCCTCGCAGGGCTCCCCGAGGAGCCACCCGCCATGGTGGAGTCCCACGAGGAGGAGGAGGAGGAAGAGGAGGCGGAGAACTTCGTGTGAGCTGCGGGATCCCCGCGTCTAATTTATTGCCACCGTGGAGTCTAACTTATGTCCTGCGGCTGCGGGGGAGCCCCCCCCCCGCAACCGCCCCAGGATGTCTCGGAAGGAGTGAGGACAGGGAGGCCTGGAGCCCACGAGGCGGGTGGCCCCAACCGTCCCTCAGAAGAGGGAACCGCGCCCGACCCGCAGCCACGGGCTCTGCCGACCTTCCAGCAGCGAGAAGCCGGTGCCTGGGCCAGGAGGCAAGCAGGGGCATGGCACGGGGCCCAGGAGGCAGTCCCAAGGCTGCCTCCCACCCCGTTTCCTGCTGGGGAGCTCGACAGGGTGAGCCCCGGTGAGGAAGTGCAGATGTGGAGAGGGGCACTTCCGGACTTGGTGCCATCAGGGTCTCTGGCTCTCACTCAGCCCCTAGCTCAGGTCCAGCTTTCAGCCCTTTCACCCACAGGGGTCGGCCCATGGAGGACATAGGGTAGGGAGGGGACCCTCCAGGAAGGGAGCTCGGTCACCCTGTGCCTCCCACAAGTGCCTTGGCTGGAGGACCTGCACCTGGGCACCCAGCCCCGCTTCCCAACTAGAGCCTTGCCTTACCAAGGAAATAAAGACCAAAAAAGAACAAAATCATGAAAACCCTTCCTCTCCCTCTCCCTCTGGGGCTGGAGCCTGGCATGGGTATTCAGGGGAAGGGGTCCAGAGCTGAACCACGTCGTCCATCCTTGGCCTTAGCAGTACGTGTGGGGCACAGCAGGGGTGGGTCCAGGCCCGCTCTCCTGGGGAGGCCCCTGGTCTGGCGTGCAGAGGTGGCAGCCTAGGGGGACAGTTAGGATATGGCAACACCTAGATAGATCAGAATCAGTAACACTCACATGCCATGCCCTGGGGGCCCGCAGCTGAGGGAGGGGCAGGGGCAGGGCCAGTTCTGACTCTGACCCACCCCCCACCCTCAGCCACAAAAGATCCCAGATCCCCTTGCGCACCTGTTGGGGCCCAGAGGTCGCAGGTGAGGGGCTGGGTCGGGGATCACCCTGGTGCAGCACATCCTGGATCCAGCCCACGAAGGCAGACAGCTGTGTGTACACATCCGGGGTTTTTGGGTCACCACACCACAAGCCTGAGAAGGACGCCAGGCCATGGGCCTGGCCCTTGCACACCAGGGGTCCCCCAGAGTCCCCCTGGTGGAGGAAGGAACAGTCAGTCAGAGGCTATATCCTCCCAGGCTCATCGCCCCATCCGCCCTGAAGTCCCTGCCTGTGAGTACCTCACAGCTCTCCACTGCCCTGCAGTAATGGGGTTCATTGAGACAGAGCCATCTTTGCTCAGCTGAGATGATGGGGAGTGGGCTCTGTCCTGGGGGGGAGGGTACCCACAGCGGCCCCCTGTGTGTGGACACCCAGGGAATTGATGGCTGCTGCAGGCTACTGCACAAGGCGGCCATGGGTGCTGGCTGTGGGGCAGGCTGGCCCTGTATAACTACGTTTTTCAGCCAGGAAGCTGGCTCTCCCCAGTTCCCACACCAGGAAGTAGAAGCTGCACCAGGCCCAGACTCCCGCCTGGGAACAAAACCCTCCCTTAATTGTATTGCTGGGCGCCCCCAGGGCAGGAGACTCTGGCCTGCCCCACCTTGCACCAGCCTCTCCTGGACCCTGCTGGTGTCTGCTGTGGTGTTCTGTGCCTGCCCCTCCCTCCGTCCCCAGCCTCACCCACCGAGCAAATTCCACGCCTCCGGCGGCGGTCCCCACTGCCAGTGCAGAGCACGCCTGGCCGCAGCTGGCCCCGCCAGGAGTCATTGCAGGCATGCAGGCCCAGCACTCGAATCTCAGCCTCCATCAGCCCAGACGGTGGCTCATTGAAGCTGGACACGGAGCCCCAGCCAGTCACCTTGCACCACGTCCCAGCCGCTGGGGGTTTGGTGCCTGGGGGCGGCAGCTGCAGCAACCCCACGGCGGGGCCCAGGATGGCAGAACCATTCAGCTACGGGGAGAAAAAATAGGCTAGGGCAACACGCCCTGGCTGCCCCCGCCTCTCCGCCCCCCACCGACCCCTGCACTCAATACCCCAGTCTGTAGCCCCTTCCATTCCAGCTGGCATGGGCCTTCAGGAAGCCTGCCTGGCATGGGCAGGGGGATGCCCTGGTGGGTCAGCTCACCTGCAGCAGGCAGATGTCATTGAAATAGCTCAAGGGCTGATAGTCTGGGTGCAGGACAGCATCCGAGATGCCCAACGTTTGCTGTGTGGGCTCCGGGTCCTGCAGGCTGTGGGCTCCCAGCACCACCAGGCCAGAACGGGGGTCTCTGTGAGAAGAGGGAGCCCCCATCCGACTCTGGCCTGACATGGGATCCCCCCCAACCATGCCCTCCTACCCAGCTCCAGCCAGAGCCACCCTCCCCGGACACCTGTCACATCCGCCTCCTCCCCCAGCACCTCCCTCACCTGCCGTGCATGCAGTGGGCAGCTGAGACGACCCACTGGGGTTGCAGCAGGAACCCCCCACAGTAGGGCCGGCCCTCGAAGCTCATCGCAGCCATAAACGGCCGGGAGTGTGGGGGCACCTCGCGACCCCCGATGATCCAGGTTGCCCAGCAGCCTGAAGGCATGGGAGGGCCTGGGTCAGGCAGAGCAAGAGGAGCAAGGGGGAAACCCCTGAGGGTGGGAGGGTTCTCAGGCCCCCACTGAGTCACCCAGGGCCCGCTGGTCCTCAGGGTGCTGGGGCTCCAGGTAGGGGGGCTCACCAGGGGATCGGACGAGCAGTGTCAGCACAGCCAGTAGCAGGTGGCACAGGAACCCCATGGTGGTGCTGGCTGAACTGCCGCCCAACCCCAACAGCAGGCAGAAGGGGAGCAGGTTGTGTGGCCTGGGGGCGGGGCCTGAGCCCTGCAGTGACTGGAGCCCTGTGGGGCAGCTCCGAGTATGGGCCCCAGACCATGGGGAGGCTCCAGGGTCTTAGCACAGCCCCACACAGCCCCAGCTGAACACACTCAGGATGGGCAGGCAGAGCCTGGAGCTCCCCGAGAGAGGACGGGACACAGGGTTCCCCCCGCCGAACCTCCTGGACATACTGGATGGGTGCTGTGAGCAGCAAGTGAGCTCAGAGAGCCATGAGGGGAGGTGGGTGGCCCAGGCCTCCCCCCATGGGTGTTCACACTGCAGCACGGGCCCCGTTTCCTCCGGAGCCCCCCTCCCCAGCTGTGCCTCCACATAAACAGAAAGCAGAGAGGGGGACAGCTGGCCATGAGAGCTGTACTTTGCTGTCTCTGTGTCCTCTCTGCTGGGCAGGCAAGGTCAGGATCGGGGAGCCGTGTGGCCAGCTGCTTCCTGTCCTGGGTGTGGGGTTGTGAAAGAGATAACGGCACATCCACCCCACAGCTGGGCCCAGTGGGACAGGCAGGCTCGCTGAAGGGAAGGCCTGGGCCGTCAATGAGGGCCCCTGGGCTGTCACTGGACCTCACTTGGGGGGTGGAACCCACCAGGCAGGGAAGAGCTGGGACCCCAGGGCTCCTGGGCTGAGGTTTCCAGCGGGGGGAGCTGAGTGACCGTGTGTGTCCCTTGTGGTCACCCAGGGAGGAGGGTGAGGACCTGGGGCTTGGTTGGGGGGGGTGTATGCCACCCACCTGATTCTCTGGCCTCGCATGTCCATCTTAGGAACTCCCAGGGCTGGTGAGAAGGTGGCAGGTACAGAGGCCACCCTGTGGGATTCTGTCTGGTCGCCCCATTGCCCATTCCTTTCAGGAACATCTACTGAGCCCCAGTTGTGTGCCAGCGTCACACAGGGTAACCACTGGGCAGCTCACGGCTGCCCCCCCCACATCCTGTAATGCAAGCAAAGGGTACAAGTTCATGGTCTTCCCTCAGGCTTCCTCCCTCCACACACACACACATACACACACACAAACATACACCAGGCCTCACTGCAGGTCCAGGCTTAGGGAAGTGTGTGTGTGTGGGGGGGAGGGGATTGAGGGACCCTGGGGACCACCACGTGCCTTCACGCTCGGCTGCAAAGGGCTGTGCAGCAGGGCGGGGGGAGCACTTCAAGGAGCTACCAGCACCTCCCCACGCTGCATCCCGACTCTGGGGGCTACCTGTCTAGCCCTCCAGCTGGCCACATTCCTCCAAAAGCAACTGGCCTTGAGCTGCTGGCTGCCCTGCTCTCGACCCCACAGGGGGCAACAGTATTGCCTGAGTCCCTGGGCGGCCCCGCAGGCACAGGGGAGAGCCCAGTGGAGCTCCCTGCTTTGGCCTGGTCCAGTCCCTGTAGTTGTGGACATGTGAGAGGAAGCCAGCAGATGGAAGGGTCCTTCTCTGACGCTCTGCCTTTTTAAATGCATAAATAAACCCATCTCAAATGGTTTTTGCAAAGCAAAAAGCAAGTTTGGAAGATTGTATCTTGGCCCCCCGCTGTGTGCTCCGCAGGGGGGTGGGTGGGGGCCTGGGTCTCTTTCCCCAGAGTCCAGGGAGGGGGACCTAGTTCCCCCAGGACCCAGACTGGTTCCTTCACACACACACACACACACACACACACACACACACACACACACCGTCAGGACTGTGTCCGGCCCTCAAGCCTAGCCCTGGACTCCCCCAGGGTCTCAGTCACCCCCTCCTGTGTCTCCTCCAGAATGGAGGTTTGCTGTTCAGGGTGGGGGCTCCTCTCTGCTTCGCCAGACCCCCCGAGACGCCCCCACAGCCAGAAGCCAGGGTGGGCGGGGCTCGGGTCACAGAGCGGCCATGGGTCAGTGCCCGGACTCTTCTGGCTGCCAGCTCCAGCCCAGCTGGCGTGGACTGCTGTCGGGGCCGCTGAACTGCTCTCAATAAGCATTCCTTGCGGTGGGCGGTGGCCTGGGTGCTGCGGGGTAGGTTGCAGGGTTGGGTGCGCTGCGGGGCCGGCCGGTGCTTGGTCATGGAGGCTCTGAGAGACAGGTGCGTGGTGATGGAGGCCTGCGGGGCTGGGTGTGCTGCTAGGCGTGTGCGTAGTGATGGAGATCTGGGGGAGGGCGCGCGATGATGGAGGCGTGCGGGACGAGCGCGCGGGGCTGGGTGTGCTGCTAGGCGTGTGCGTAGTGATGGAGAGCTGGGGGACGGGAGCGCGGTGATGGAGGCGTGCGGGGGGCCGGTGCACGGGCGGAGGTGCTGCGGGGTGGGCGCACGGTGATGGAGGCGTGCGGGGCGCGCGCGCGGGGCTGGGTCTGCTGCTAGGCGTGTGCGTGGTGATGGAGGCGTGCGGGGCAGGCGCGCGGTGACGGAGGCGTGCGGGGCGGGTGCTGGGCACCGGAGGCCGCGGCGCAGCGGACGCAGGGGAGGAGTAGCCGCCAGGAGGCGCAGCGCAGGCTCGGCGCGCGCGGGGAGGAACGGGGAGGAGCGGGGAGGGGAGGGGACCGCAGCGGAGACGCGCGCGCCGAGCCCACCCCCCGCGCCCGCCGCCGCCCGGACAATAAACAGCCGCGCGCGGGGCGATGCCCGAGCCGGTGCCGCCGCCCCCGCGCCGCGCAGCCCCAGCGCTCAGGCCTTAGCCCCGCGGGCCGCGCCCGCCGCCGACCCCCGCCCTTGCGCCCGCCCCCGCCCGGCCGCGGGGGGCCCACCCGGACGTCGGTCAGCGGGGAAATGGAGTGAGTACGCGCGCCCGGTCGGGTTCCAGGCGGGAAGGGATACCGAGGGCCCTCCGGAGAGAAACCCTGGCCGGGCCGGGCCCCGCGCGCGCGTGCCGGGAGGCCTCCCCACTCCTCGGCGCTCCGGCGACCCTGGGGTGGGATGGGGTGGGCCCTAAGCAGCAGCGTCCCCCTGCCCAGCGCTGAGGAGCGGGAAGCCCGCGCCCTAGCGAGGCAGCCTCGGCCCTGGGCCACCTGTGGGTGGCCCCTGGGAGTTCCAGTGACCCCTCCCCAAATTGCACGGATCTAGCCTGTGCTCTCCCACGCCTCTCCCGCCGCCTCCAAGGGCTCCTTGTACCCTGGACGCGGACGTGCCTGACCCGGCCCAGGGAGTGGGCTCGCCGGGCGCCTACAGGGTGGTCCAGCCACCTGGAGCCCCCTGAGGAGGCCGACGGCCAGCAGTCAAGGCTGTCCGGAGTTGTCCCGGGTGTGTGTGTGTGTTGGGGTGTCTAAAACAGGATATGTCAGGGGTTTCTCAGCAATTGCGACGGGATCTGAGCCCCCTCTCCAGCCCCCAAAAGGTTGCCAAGTTCTGCAGCTGCGAGGTGCTACCCAAGGCAGGTGCAGGACGTGTGGGGTCAGAGGGCAGAGGGCAGCTGTCACGCAGGGTTCCTGTGCCCAGCTGGTGCCTGACGCGAGTGGGCACTCACTCCGAGCTCTAAGTCCTGTCTTCCCAACCCAACGTGCCACCCAGGCCCCTCACTCGCACAGGTGGGCGACAGGAGGCCTGTTTGTAGGGCCAGGGGTTGGGGGCACATGGGGTCACCCCCCCCCATCTTGTGACTTGTAGCAGGCTTTGCTCCGGGGCCCCCCCGTGGGCGTTTGGCCTTCCTCTCTCTGGGTGTGTTTTCTGGCCTGCAGCTTTCCCCAGGGGTTCGCTATGACCGCCACACCCTGGGCTGGGTGGGGGCCTGGCTCCTCTTCCCTCCCGGGGAAAGCGAGACGCCCGGGTCGGTCCTGTGTTCTGGAAGCTCAGACAAAAGCCTGGCCAGATCCCCACCCTGCCCCGGGAGCCCAGCCCAGGCTGGCCTGTCCCCTGTCACCCCACCCTGCCCGGTTGTTATCCACCCAGGGGAACCGGGCCAGGGTGTGGCTGGGGGGAGGGGGCTGTGGGGTCTCTCACTGTGCCCTTTCCCGCCACCCTGAAGCCCACAGGATGCAGCTGCCTGGGGTCACACAGTGGCAGGAGAGCGGGGTGGGGGGGTGGTCCCTGGCAGGAGGGGCTAAGCACGGCTCCCCTGGCTCTGCTTCCCACTTCCTGGGGGCCCCTGCCCCTCTGTGTGTCTGCCAAAGTTTGTTGCAAATAGGAATTTGGGGGTTGGGAGGGGATAGTTGAATGCTCGCTAGTTTATGGATTGATTCTTGGATTTAACGAATGGGGTGGTCAGCGCCGTGAGTCCTGGGGGGCGGGGAGGCCGTGGGAATGAGCAGCGCTGTCGTGGGTGGGGTCCAGCTGGTAACATCGGGTCGGAGGAGTGAAGTTAGAACTAGAAGGGTGAGCTTGGGCCCACACCCCAAGCGGCCCCAACAAGCCACGCAGGCCCACACCCTGCCCGGGCCCACATTCCCGCCCAGGCCCTCATCAGGGGGCTGTGGCACCTGCGGGTCCCCTTGCTTGGAGAGATGAGGTGGGGGGCTCCCCAGGAGGAGGCGGTAGTGTGTGCATGTGTGTGTGTGTGGAGGGGGTTGTTACTCCTGGGGTCCTGGGTCTGGTCACAACATCACACACCTCAGAACTCTGCATGGAGGGACCCTCCAGGACCTCCAGGACCCAGGCAGGAAGTACAGGTACCCCTGACTCAGCACCCCAGCCCTCCATGCACCCCAGAATGGTACATGAGCCCTACAGGCTCACCCTGACACGGGGAGACTGAGGCAGGGAGAGGAGGCTGACTTGGCCTGGGGACAGGCTGGGAAGCAGCTTCCAGTGCCCACACCACAGGTGGCTTGGGCCCCCAAGGTCTCCGGCCTCTGTGGAGGGGGACAGGACCCCGGGCCCCTCCCAACCTCCTTCCTGCGAGGGCCAATGTTATTGTCCTTCAAAGTGCACCCCTCTGTCCCTGCAGGTGGGAGCCCCGGTTGCACATGTCTGTTCCATGCACGTGGCTTCTGCCTGGCCAAGGCTGGGGGCACTGTAGGGGTGGGGGGGGGGGCCAAGTGGTGAGGACTTCTCCAGGAGGCAGGAGGGCCCAGCGGGGGCAGAGTACATGGGGGGAGGACAGGGACCTCACAGGTCCGGGCGTCCAGGAAGACTGAGCAGGGCCTGGAAGGACCTGACCACCCCAGTGGCAAGACCAGGGCAGGCATAGGGGCTGGTGGGCGGCTCTGGGAGATAAGGTGGCAGGGGACAGGGCTCCGAACTGGCCAACTGGATGGGGCAGCCTGGATGGGGGTTGTCCCTGTCCAGGAGAGTGGCGGGGTGGCAGTCATAGGGCAGCGAGTGGGAAGTCCAGGGCTGGCCAGCTCTCTCCTGCCCCAGGGTTGGGAGCAGGGACTCAGGAAGAACAGCAAGAGGGCAGCCGTGGGGGCAGTGGGGCCAACATGCTGCCTGTAGCGACCCCTGTGGAGGGGGCATTGGGCAGGTGCCCCACCTGGCTGGCCTGGTGACCTGGTGGGAGGCTCTCAGCAGCTCCACGCAGACTTGATCCCGACTCTGCCCCCTCACCCGTAGGTGGGAGGGGTAAGGCTTGCTGCTGGCTGGATTTTCAACACCCCCAAGAGGGGCCTTTCCTGTCCAGCCCCCACTTGTTGTCACTCAGAATGCCTCCCCGCTGGAGCTGCAGGTCTGTTCAGGTCTGTTCCCGCTGCCCGGTGTGTGTGTGCATGTGCGTGGGACTCGTGCTGGCTCTGCAACTATTGTTTCACATTCATGCTTTCTGTTTTGTAACATTGTTTATTTGCAAGTCAGAGCTATGAGAGCATCCATCCAATGGTTCACTCCCCAGATGGACACAACCCGCAGGACTGGGCTGGGTGGAAGCCTTGAGCTAAGAGCTGTAGGCTGTACGCGCGTCTCCGTCTCCCCGATGGGTGCAGGGGCCTCAGCGCCTGGACCATCCTCTGCTGCTTTCCCAGGTGCCCAAGCAGGGAGCCGGATGGGAAGGAGAGCAGCCAGGACTTGAACCTGCACCCACCTGGGAGCCAACACTGCAGGAGGCAGTTCCACCTCACTGCCCAGCCCTTCCAGGGAGCTCCATCTGTAGCCATACCCAGTGCCCGGGGGTCCCAGTATGGCTCACAGTGAGGGGGAGGGTGTGAGGTGGGGCAGGCGCTGGGAGGATAGGAGGGCCAGATGTGGGGGACTGGGGCTGGGGGCAGTGAGGATGGCCAGGTCGCCCAGATCAGGTTGGGCCCTTGCAGCAGCTCTGGGAAGGGAGCTGAGGCCCGGCCTGCATAGCCCTGATCCCTCACAGGTCACCCAGCGGGCAGGGGTCGCCTGGGGGTGAGGACACTAGGGCAGAACATTCTGGAAAATAAACAGCTGCCGGTGACCTTGCTGGAGCTGTGGGAGTCACAGGGAGCCAGTATCCCTGGCAGCTCCCTCCCTTTCCTCGCCTGCATCCCGTTGCCCCCAGGCCTGGCACGGGGAGAGGAGAATACCACACAGGCCTGCAGGGAGTTCCAGAAGGTTCTATCTGAGCAGAGAGGCCTGGATGGAGGAGAGGGCAGGGCAGGCCAGGGTCCCCTGACAGACCAAACCTGTTGCCCATTAACTCGTGTGTCCAAGGAGCTGGACCCTGTCCCTGCCTTCCTGGAAGGGAGGCCACCCCCCTCCCCAGCCTGCACCTGCCCTTAGCCTGCTGTCCTGGACAGAGGCGACCCTGGTGCACAGAGGGCACTCAGTGGACGGTGGTGATGGGCCAGGCTCCTGGTTGGTCTTTGCCAGTTCAGAGGAGTCTCAGTGGAGGTGCTGCAGCTCCCAACCCCAATCCCAGCCTGCCTCACCCCCAAGCTCCGGCCATCTTCACCCCCCTACACCCAGCCCCAGCTCACCTCATCCCCCCAGCACCCACATCCCCACCCCCTAGCCTCAGCCCGCTTCACCCTGATCTGGGCAGCCACGCAGGACCTTAATCTGGGCAGCCACTCAGGATCCCATCTGTGTGGCCTGGCACAGGGCGCAGCCTGGCAGGACCCCCAAGGGGTGCGGCCCAGCATGACCCCATCTTGGCAGCCACGCAGGACCCCATTGGGCAGTATGGCACAGGGCGCAGCCTGGCAGGACCTGGATCTGGGCAGCCCAGCAGTACCCCATCTGGGCGGCTGGCAAGGGGTGTAGCCCAGCATGACCCCATCTTGGCGGCCTGGCACAGGGCACAGCCTGGCAGGACCCCTATCTGGGTGCCCGGACACAGGGTGCGGCCCAGCAGGACCCCGATCTGGGCGGCTTGGCCCAGGGCGCAGCCTGGCAGGACCCCTATCTGGGTGCCCGGACACAGGGTGCGGCCCAGCAGGACCCCGATCTGGGCGGCCTGGCACAGGGTGCAGCCTGGCAGGACCCCATCGGGGCAGCTCAGCCAGCATCCCTCGGGCCCCGCAGCAGAGCCTGCCTGCCCGGCCGGGGGCGGGAAAAGCTCCGTGCGGCCCCGCCCCCGCGCGCCGGGGCCCCGGGTTGCCATGGGGACTGCGCGGTTGCCAGGGCGACCGCCTCCCCGGGCCGCCATCCGTCACTCGCGCGGCGGGCGGCGCCCCCAGCCCCGGGGAGAACGTGCGGGTCCCGGGGCGCCCGACCTTGCCTTGCCCTGGCGGGACACTGCTGTGGCCTTGTCTGCAGCCGCCTGAGCCTGAGCCAGGCTGCCCACCTTGGCTCCGGCCCAGCCCGCCGTGCCGCCACCCTGGGTCCGGCCTGAGGAGCCGGCCACAATGTCCACCCTGGGTCCATCAAGTGGCCACCAGCCAGCCCTCTGGAGCAGCCGACCCAGCGTTGGTGGCCCTGTGGTTCCACCAGGCCCTGCCCGCCCTTAGAGCAGGTGTCAGGTCCTGCCAGGAGTGCCCAGGCAGGCTCAGCAGAGGATGGGTGGGGTCTGTGTGTGTGTAGGGTTGAGCCAGGAGGTCTTGCATTTTAGATGGTTACCACCGTTTAAAAGTTTATTCAGGGCCACTGGCTGCTCCAGTTCCCACCCGATCCCGTCCAGCTCCCTGCTCCTGCGCCTGGAAGCTGTGGAGGATGAACCAAGAGCTCTAAGGTCCCTGCACCCACACAGGAGGCATGGATGGCTCTCCTGGCCTCTATCTGGTCCAGTCCTGACCACTGACCTCACCTGGGGAGTGGCTCTGCACATGGACCAGCTCTCTGTGACTCAGGCTTGCAAATAATCTTTTAAAATTTCTTTTTATTTAAAGAGCAGACAGATGCCTGTCCACTGATCCACTCCCCGAAATCTGTGTAATGGCCAAGCTGCGCCAGGCAGAAGACAGGAGCCGTATGCTCCATCTGGGTCTCCCACTGGGGCGGCAGGGGTGGTCACTGCTGCTCTCCAGAGAGCTGGAGGGGAGGTGGAGTGGGTCTGGACCCCGGGCTGGTCGCAGGGGTCTCCACAGCCACAGCATGATGGGCCCACCCAGGGCTGGGAGGGTGGGCAGCTAGCAGCAGCCCTGGGTGACACAGGTGCATACTGCCAGTGTGGGACCCCAGGTGGGGAGTGTGAGCGGATGCAGTTTTCTGCCACACAGGAGGAGTGGGGTGGAGCAGGAGGCCAGGGAGGCAGGGCAGGTGGGCACTGAGGGGTGTGGGGTGCCCGGGGAGGCAGGCGGGCACTGAGGGGTGTGGGTGCCCGGGGAGGCAGGACAGGCGGGCACTGAGGGGTGTAGGTGCCCGGGAGGCAGGGCAGGCAGGCACTGAGGGGTGTAGGTGGCCAGGGAGGCAGGACAGGCGGGCACTGAGGGGTGTGGGTGCCCGGGGAGGCAGGGCAGGTGGGCACTGAGGGGTGTAGGTGCCCGGGGAGGCAGGGAAGGTGGGCACTGAGGGGTGTAGGTGCCCGGGAGGCAGGACAGGCGGGCACTGAGGGGTGTAGGTGCCCGGGGAGGCAGGGCAGGTGGGCACTGAGGGGTGTAGGTGCCCGGGAGGCAGGACAGGCGGGCACTGAGGGGTGTAGGTGCCCGGGGAGGCAGGGAAGGTGGGCACTGAGGGGTATAGGTGCCCGGGAGGCAGGACAGGCGGGCACTGAGGGGTGTAGGTGCCCGGGGAGGCAGGACAGGCAGGCACTGAGGGGTGTGGGTGCCCGGGGAGGCAGGGCAGGTGGGCACTGAGGGGTGTAGGTGCCCGGGGAGGCAGGACAGGCGGGCACTGAGGGGTGTAGGTGCCCGGGAGGCAGGCGGGCACTGAGGGGTGTAGGTGCCCAGGGAGGCAGGGCAGGCAGGCACTGAGGGGTGTAGGTGGCCAGGGAGGCAGGACAGGCAGGCACTGAGGGGTGTAGGTGCCCAGGGAGGCAGGGCAGGTGGGCACTGAGGGGTGTAGGTGCCCAGGGAGGCAGGGCAGGTGGGCACTGAGGGGTGTAGGTGCCCGGGGAGGCAGGGCAGGCAGGCACTGAGGGGTGTAGGTGGCCAGGGAGGCAGGGCAGGTGGGCACTGAGGGGTGTAGGTGCCCGGGAGGCATGCTGGCACTGAGGGGTGTAGGTGCCCGGGAGGCAGGTGGGCACTGAGGGGTGTAGGTGCCCGGGGAGGCAGGACAGGCGGGCACTGAGGGGTGTAGGTGCCCGGGAGGCAGGTGGGCACTGAGGGGTGTAGGTGCCCGGCGAGGTAGGGTGGGCATTCAGAGCTCAAGTGCCGGGGAGGCTGGGCGGACTGGGACCTCAGTGGTTGCTGAGGCATGAGGAGGCCGGGAGTGGGGCTCCCTGATTTTGGGGGGCAGCTCATGGGACAGTAAGGTGGAGAGACAGGAGCGGCTGGGCTGTGGACTGGGGGAGCCCCCTTCAGCCTTTTCCCACCTGCAGGGTCCCCGCGGCAAGTACCCCGTCCCAGCAGGAGCGGCTGCAGGCCATCGCGGTGAGTCCTCCCGGGCCAGGGACGTCTGGGTGCCCCAGCCGGCGTGGGAAGCTGGAGGGACCCCATGGGCGAAGCTGGGACCCCATGGGTGGAGCTGGGACCCCATGGGCGGAGCTGGGACCCCCATGGGCAGAGCTGGGACCCCATGGGCGGAGCTGGAGGGACCCCATGGGCAGAGCTGGGACCCCATGGGCAAAGCTGGGACCCCATGGGCGGAGCTGGGACCCCATGGGCGGAGCTGGAGGGACCCCATGGGCAGAGCTGGGACCCCATGGGCGGAGCTGGGACCCTGTGGGCGGAGCTGGGACCCCATGGGAGGAGCTGGGACCCCGTGGGAGGAGCTGGGACCCCATGGGCGGAGCTGGGACCCCGTGGGCGGAGCTGGCACCCCATGGGCGGAGCTGGAGGGACCCCATGGGCGGAGCTGACCGCTGACCAGCCTGGACGTGTGTGGCCTCCCGCAGGAGAAGCGGAAGCGGCAGGCAGAGATCGAGACCCGGCGCCGGCAGCTGGAGGATGACCGGAGGCAGCTGCAGCACCTCAAGGTGGGGCGGGGCCTAAGGAGGGGCGGGGCCATGGGCGGGATGTGGCGGGGCCTACGGTGGGGCGGGGCCACGGGCGGCACCTAAGGAGGGGTGGGGCCACGGGCGGGACCTAAGGAGGGCGTGGCCAGATGGAGGTGGGGCAGGGCTGACAGGTGGGGGGGCGGAGCCAGGAGGTAGGAGGGCGGGGCCTGATGGGTGGGCGCGGTCTGATGGAGTGGGGCGGGGCCTGGTGCAGGGCAGGAATGGGGAGGGGTCAGATGAAGTGGGCGGAGTGAGATCAGAAGGGGCAGGGTCTGATCGAGGGGCGTGGTCATGTGGAGGTGGGCGGGACTGGACCAGAACGGGCGGGGTCTGGATGAGGGGCGGGGCCATGTGAAGGTGGGCGGGGTGGTCGGCCTGGGTTCCCGCCCACAGCTGTGCTGACCACCCTGTCCCCCCAGTCCAAGACGCTGCGGGAGCGCTGGCTGCTGGAGGGGACGCCGTCCTCCGCCTCGGAAGGGGACGAGGAGTTCCGCAGGCAGATGCAGGAGGACCAGCAGAGGGTCCAGCGCCTGGAGGTGTCCATCTGCAGGTGGGGCCAGGGGTCACCCCAGGGAGGGTGTCACCCCGGGGAGGGGGTCACTCCAGGGAGGGGGTCACCCCAGGGAGGGGGTCACCCCAGGTAGAGGGTCATCCCAGGGAGGGGGTCACCCCAGGGAGGGGGTCATCCCAGGGAGGGGGTCACCCCAGGGAGGGGGTCACCCCGGGGAGGGGGCCTCCATCTGCAGGTGGGGGCAGCGGCTGCCCCGACAGGGGGTCACCCTGGGGAGGGGACGTCGATCCGCGTGTCGGGAGCAGGTGCTGCCCTACGGGGTCCCGTGAAGCACCCTGTGAGGGGGCATCCCCATGAGGGCTGTAATGAGACCCAGCCCTTTTTGGGGTCACATCAAGGGCAGTGACGGCCAGGGCCCCCCAGAGAGGCCTTGGTGGTCCTGCCCCGTCTGGCCGTGCTGGGGCTCTGTTTCCCTGCCGTCCCCCCAGGGTACACTAGCAGGCCATGGGGGTGGCAACCCATTGCATCTCCGTCTCCCAGGCGGGGAAGGGGTTCTGGGGGGCTGGGGGCCTCACTTCTGCTCGTCCACAGCCTGGAGAAGGAGCTGGAGGCGCTGGAGAATGGAGAGGCCCTCCCTGGCTCCATGAGGGAGAACTCAGCGGCCCCCAGCCCTGCCCGAGCCCTGGCCCCCAGCCCCACCCCGGAGGAGCCCAAGGCCGAGGTGGTGCTGAACTCACAGCAGGTACAAGGGCAGGGGGGCAGGGGGGCAGGGGGTGCAGGGGGGCTGGCTCCAGGACTGGGGGTGCAGGGAGTGCTGGCTCGGGGGCAGGGGGTGCAAAGGGCTGGCTCTGGGGCTGAGGGGCTGACTCCAGGGTTAGGGGTACAGGGGGGCTGGCTCCGGGGCACTGGATCTGGATTACCTAGGTGGGAGTCGAGCAAGGCCTCGATCCAGGCTTACCAGGGGTCGGAGGGTAGGGCTGGAGGGCTTGAGGCATACCCAGGTTTCCAGCTGGATCCCCGAGAGCACACAGCACAGGGGATGGATTCCTGGAGTTGGGGGTCCTGACCCTGCATGCTCCCCTCTGGGCAGTGGGCCTGCTGGGGTCCTGAGCAGGGTCTCCCCTCTGCGCAGTGAGCCTGCTGGGGTCCTGACCCTGCATGCTCTCCTCTGGGCAGTGGGCCTGCTGGCATCTGGGCAGGGTCTCCCCTCTGGGCAGTGGGCCTGCTGGGGTCTGGGCAAGGGTCTCCCCTCTGGGCAGGCAGCAAGGGGTAGCAGAAACCCCGCGGCTTCCCCCCTCTCACCTCTCCCTTTCTCTTGCAGACCCCGCTGGGCACCCCCAAAGGTAGGGCTTCTGGAAGGGACGCCGGGGCCCTCTGCTGGCCACGGCGGGGACGGCATGGCCGTGGACCGCTGCCCTGGGGGACTGGAGTGGGCCACCCCCTCTGCCAGGAGGGGTCCCGTGGGGCCTTGCTTCCCACATGTGAGGGTCTGGGTTCACGGCCAGGCTCTGGCTGCCCACAAGGGGTCAGGGAGGCCGAAGCGCTGTGGTCAGACGTGGTTAGCAGGCCAGGCCCATCCGACGACCTGCTGTAGGTGCCCAGCTCGGGAGCAGCCGTGGCCCGGCGGGCATGGCCTGATTTGTTTGCCAGTTAATTATTCACAAGATAAGTGTCTGCTGCTCTTAATGGGGAATTAAAAATTAATAATTAAGAAAAATCCACGCACAGCTCTCGGGGATTCCAAGAAAGTCTTTTGGCTGAGCAGTGAGAAGCCAGGCGGTGGGATGGGGGGCAGGCTGTGTGGTTGCCGGGGGGTCCGGTGCCCTTGGGGTCAACACACACAGTGACCTCTTGACCTCTGACCTGCCTCCCCCAGCAGAGCCGAGCGTCTCCCGTACCCCTGTGAGGACAGCCGAAGGCTCGACCATGATGAAGGCAGGTGAGTCAGCCTCGTTCTGGCAGCTGTCCGTCCAGGGCTCTGTCTCGGTCCCGCCCTCGGTGGGGTGAGCTGTGGCCATGGGGGTGGCAGCTGGACCGAGGCCGCGGCCCTGGGCCTGGGGGTCACCGGGCACCCCTCCGCTTCGGTGCCTCCCGCAGCCTGGCCCAGGCTTCCCCGCATGGCGGCTCCATCCACACGCCACTTCTGCCGTGTCCACCACAGGCTTGCTCCGGGGGGCCCGTCGGGGGTGGCACACGCACTCCCACCGCCTGGCCAGGGGGACCCTGCTTGCTCCAGGCCTTGGCCAGTCGCGCCGGTGACCATGCAGGCCTGTAACACGGGGGGCCGGTCAGTGCACGAGATATAGGGACAGGGAGGGACGGGCACCGCGTGCTGAGGTCAAGGGCAAGGCCCAGAGCAGGCGGAGTCACACATGCCGGTTAGAGCCACCCTGGCTGGGCACCGGGCTCCCCTGCCGATGACTGGGCAGCTCTGGGCAGGGACGTTTGGCTATGCTGTGGCCTAGGGGTTGTGACCACCATTCATCTAGCCAATGCAGGCGTGAGGCATAGCTTGGGGTATGGATGTTCTGGGTGGCCTGTGTGCAGTGACAAAGCCTCACCAGGGTGGGACGGGACAGGCCCGGGGTCAGGGCTTGGCAGAACAGGGACTCACAGGTGCTATGGGCAGCACCATCAGTAAGGGCACTGGGCCAGCAGGCCGGCCCCTGAGCAGCCTCGAGTGGTCTGGCTGGGGTGGATGTCTCGGTGAGGGTCCTGGGGGACCTGAGGTGGCCAGCAGCATTTGTTGGAAGTGGAAGCCGGTAGCACACAGTGAAATCTAAGAGTTGAGCAGGCCTTGAGGCCAGGGTCAGCAGGTGAGCTGGCAGCTTCCGGCCGTGGGGTGGTGACCACCGTGGGTCTTCTCCCTGGTGGTGCAAGGCAAGGCTGGAAGGAGGTGACTGGTGGTGGCTGGAGGCCCAAGTCGGGCTGTGACTCTGCTCCTGGGCGGAGTAGGGGCCGTGGGGCTCCCTTACATGGCCACCATGGTGGCCAGACCTTGACAAGGGTCCAGTGGTTAAGAAGGGATGCTAAGGAGCCACTGGGGAGGGGTGTGCAGACAGAGTGCCCTGGGCCCCCCGCCTCCTGGCCTGCTTGGCGCTGTTGCTGGCTGCTCCCCCCTGCTTGGCCGCGGGCTGGCGGGGGGGGCGCATGGGCGGGCGACCGCCGCGTAACCGGTGCCTCTCGTGGCAGCCATGTACTCGGTTGAGATCACGGTGGAGAAGGACAAAGTGACGGGGGAGACCAGGGTGCTGTCCAGTTCCACCCTGCCCCCCCGGGGGCCGCTCCCCCAGGGCATCAAAGTCTACGAGGACGAGACCAAAGGTATGAAGACCCACTGCTCGGCCTTCCAGGCCGACTCCAGAGCCTTGCCGTCCGGAGGCTGTGCTGGGTCCCAGGGTGGCCTCGGCCTTGCCATCGCAGGCCAGCAGGCTCAGTCCTGCCTGCTGTGTGGACGTGAGGCGGCTCCGGGGGAGCCTGGAGATGCAGGGAGTTGAGTCTATGGTGAAGCTGCGTGCCCACAGCCCACAGAACAGTACGCCCAGCAGTGGGTGCAGCAGGCGCATGGCGGGAGGGGTTCAGGGAGGCTGGGGGCCATGGGGCTGTGTCCCCACGGGGCTGTGTCCCCACGGCACAAGAAGCCAAGCGGCTTGTGGGGCTGAGGTCTGGAGTCAGGGCCCCCTCTGGTGGCCGGGGTGGGACAGGCTGCAGGAGAAGGGAGACTCTGGGCAGAAGGCGCAGCAGCGTGGTTCTATTTTGTTTGTTGTTTTGTGTATTTGAAAATCAGAGTTCTGGAGAACATCTCCCATCTCTAGGCGCCCACAGCAGCCAGGGCTGGGCCAGGGGCTTCATCGGGGTCAGCTCCCCAACACTTGGGGGCCTTCTCCTGCTGCCTTCCCAGGCAGCTGGCTGCAAAGTGGAACAGCCGGGGCTCAAACTGGCACCCAGGCAGGATGCAGACATTACTGATGGCAGTTTAAGCTATTCTGCCACAATGCTGGACCCCAAAATTCAGCCCTGTAGAGGGGCACGGTTTGTGAGATCTTAATATTTTCACAGTTACTTCACCACCTACGTCTGATTCCAGGACAAAAGGGAGCACCAGCCCTTCCCCAACTCCTGGTGGCCGCACGTCCCTTCCTGTCCCTGTGGGCTCCCCAGTGCTGGACGTTTCCTGTCCACGGAGCCCTGCGTGTCTGCATGTCTGGGTGTGGCATCCAAGAGCCCCCCGCCCCCCACGCCTCACTCCTGCTCCTGGCAGTGTCTGGTTCCCCCATGTGCCTGGACCAGACCCTCCGGCTCCCCAGCCCCCCGGGGATTCAGGGCTGGCCAGACTGGACTCTGGTTGCCTAGCAACAGGAGACGACCCAGGTTCAGATTCCAAAGCTGGAGCAGCGGCCAGGGAACATTCCCAGCCTGGCTCCACATGACCGGCGGCCAGGGACAGAGACCTGACCCTTGCTCCCGGTGAGGCGGGCGGCTCCTCCAGGCGGCCACAGGGCTGGCCTCTGCTCGCAGCTGGGACGTGGGCTGCGGGCGGTGCTGGGAAGAGGCAGACTGGGACATGGCTTGAGCCCTCGCAGGGGTGACCGCACCCCTGCTGGTGCTAGGTCTCCTCCCAGGGGTGACCACACCCCTGCTGGTCCAGGGTCCCCTCCCAGGAGTGACCACACCCCAGCTGGTGCAGGACCCCATCGTTGTGTTCTAGACCGAGGCCCCTGGTCCCTCACAGTAACCAGCACTCTAAGGAACTACATGGGGGAGGCACCAGACCCCTGGGCTGGGCAGTCCCCCACAGAGGGAATGGCGGTCAGGCCCCAGCTGTGTGGCTCCAGCTGACTGTGCCTTCTGTTAACTTGAGTTTTTTTTTTTTTTTTCCTCTTCTACCATGGAGGAAGAGACCCCCACCCCCAGAGCAGTGGGGGCTGAGAGCAAACCAGCGGTTGCAGGGGGGCCCATGCCGCAGCTCCGTGTCCCCCTGCCGGTGGCCGTGGCCGCACCCCCCCCCCCCCGGGGAAGCCGCAGGTGCTCACACTGGCCCTGTTTCTCTCCCCTTACCCCCGGGCAGTGGTCCACGCCGTGGATGGCGCCTGTGAGAATGCCGTCCAGCCGCTGAGCTCCTCCGAGGTGGACGAACTCATCCACAAAGCAGACGAGGCGGCGCTGAGCGAGGGGGCTGCGGAGGAGGCCGTGCGGGTGACGCCCACGCGGCGACACATCGCCGGAGTGCAGGCACAGCCGGGTGAGGCCACATCAGGCCCGCCGGGCCCACAGCCTGGCCAGGAACCCCCGGTCACCATGATCTTTATGGGATATCAGAACGTGGAGGACGAGGCGGAGACCAAGAAGGTGCTGGGCCTGCAAGACGCAGTCACCGCCGAACTGGTGGTGATCCGAGATGCTGCCGAGCCGGCCCCACCCAACGGCAGCGCGGCTGAGCCCCCCGCCCAGGCGGGCACCTGCGAGGAGAGCCAGGCGGGACCCGAGACCACCACCAGCGACCCCCAGGACTTGGACGTGAAAAAGCAGCGTTGTAAATGCTGCTCAGTCATGTGAGCCGCCTGGCCCGGCCCCTGTCCCTGCCCTGCATCCAGACACCCACAGTCCGGCCGTGGCCCTCCCGGCGCCCACCCCTCTGCCTGAGGCCAGGGGGCGGCTGCGCCCGTCACCACCCCTGATGCACACCCCACCACTGAGCCGTGCACCTGCACCCGGCAGGAGACAGGACAGACCCCTCCTTGTGGCAGCTTCACAGATGTGGCTCAGCCCCCACTGTGGCCACCCACTGGGCCCCCCCCCCCACCTGTGCCTTTGTGCCACCTCTGATGTCTGTGGGGTGGGGGGACCTGGAGGCGGGGCTCCCCTCCCCAGGCCGGGGCAACTGGGGTGATGCCTCACCCTAGGCTGATGTGCCCCCTCACTCTCCCTGGGCCAGACCAGGGCACGTGGGGCTGAGGATGTGGGCAACGCTGCCCTGGAAGGTCTGGGGTCTGCAGGCCGGCTTCTGGACATGCCGCCCGCAGACCTTCAGCTGCTGCCTGCACAAGGTGGGCACTGCGGGAGCTCCCACCCCCCACCCCACCCCCGGGGCCTCTTCCTCCTGGTGCTAATTGGAGACCCCAGAGGCCGCCCCAGCCTCCTCTCCAGCCTGCTTGGACCAGCACGGCTGGGCAGGACAGGGAGGCTCCCCAGGGCTGCAGGAGACCCCTGCCCACCCCATCCCGACAGTTAGCTGTGCACAGTCCATCTGGTAGCAGCCACACTTATCCACACAGGCACATTCATGTCCCGGCCTGCCCTTTTCTCCTGGCTCGACCTTAGCCAGAGACCTTCATGGTCTATTTGCCCCTGCCCTGCCAGGCGCCTCAGTAGGACCGGAGCATTGGGCCTGGGTCCCTGGCTGTGCTCCCGCGTGGGTGGCTGGGAGGAGGGACCCTCCCTGGGACAACGTGGTGGCGGCTGTGGGACCCCACCTTTTCCTCCTGAGCCTGCCCGAGCCCCCACGCCCTGAGCCTGCGCTGACAGCCCAAGCCGCCCCCCTTCTGCTTGCGGTGTGTGCCGAGGGCCCCCCCCCCCAGGCCCCCGTGTTCCTCTTTCCCAGAGAAGCTAATAAACCCGTGAACAGCCCAGTTCCTGGAGCGCTGGTGTCTCGCTGGGCGGGTGAGCCGGCAGGGTGGGGCCGTGGGGACTGTCATAAAAGGGAAGCAGAGCGGGGCTGAGCCACTCTGCTGTCCCCCGAGGCGCCACGTGCAGCTGTGCACCTGACCAGGTAAGGCCTGGAGGGGAGGTCAGGAGACAGGATTGCTTCATGCCGGGTGCCGCAGGGTGCCAGCTGCCTGAGCTGTCCAGGGTTTGTGAGCCCTGGGGGCAGAGGTGGCGGGAGGGTTCCTACAGACACCCCAGGTGTACCAAGGAGGCTTGAGCAAGAAGGCACCCTACAACGTGGAGGAGCAGGATAGGAGGGGAGGAACAGGCCCCCCACTAGCCCCACCTCTGCACCGGAGGGTTGCTCTTTCTGGGCTGAAGTTCCTGCTCTGCCAGACAGAACAGGACCTGCAGGGTAATGGGAGGGTGGTGGAGCTGGATGTCTGGGGTCCCCAGCCTACAGCCCTGCTGCGATCCCTGGTATGAGATGGAGCTTTAGACACGCCTCCCACAGCCCAGCAGAGGCAGGCAGGGCTGGCTGCCCACTTGCTCTGCAGCACTTCCTGTGGCGTTCAGAAAAGGGTCAGCATGGTTCCAAAGCAGGCCCTGGCTTGTGGAGGAAAGGGGTTACCACTGGGGACTGAGACGATGTAAGACCAGGAAGAACAGAGTCCCTGCTGGGCATCCCAGGGCTGTGGGCACCGCGCCCGCCCTCTGCCCTGCCATGCTGGGGTATCGGCTTTCCCCCTCCTCTGGACTTTGTCTCGCGAGCTGGGGTGGGGCAGGGAGGAGGGGGTGCACTTGCTCCCACATGGGGCCTCTCCCTGGCAACCAGGCCTGCAGGGCGGAGCCTGTGTGGCCATCAGAGGAGCCAGAGCAGAGGCTGAGGCTGTTGGGGCCTGGGAAGCCAGAGGTGAGACAGGTTGACGGGGGGAGGAGTAGAGGGCCTGGCACTGGGATGGGTGCCTCTAGGGTGGTATGGGGGCGCTGGGTCTGCTTTAGGCTGGGGGGGGGCGGGGTTCATCCCCATCCTGTAAGCCTCTGGGAGTGCCCAGAGCCTTGGACTGCGGGCCTCGGATCTGTGCTCCCACCTGGGGATCAGAGGTCCCCTAGCCCTGACTCTGGGTCCCCAAGTTCCCAAAACCCGTTCTCTGAGGGCGGGGCCTGATAGGTACCCCACAGCTGGTGGCTTCTGGGAGCTGAGGGGGCTGACGGAGGGAGTGTGGGCTGTCATTCCCCAAAAGCAGTCGGCTTGGGGACACAGCAGGGTGGGCTGAGCCCAGGCTGAAAAGGCCTCGGGCTGAGAATAGGGGTGCCGTGAGGGCAGCGCAGGAGTGTAGGGTGCTGGGCCCGGAGCCCCTCCCTGTTGCTTACCCCAGCCCTCCATGGAGCCCCCGCCCTGGGTGGAACAGCAGGAAGCCATCTGCGGTGAGGTGCGCAGCAGGTGCAACGTGCTATGGCAATAAACCCAGTTTCAGTCTGGTATCACAGCACAGGGTGGGGCTCAGGCTGTGGAAATCTGGTCGGAGGCCCTTGGGGCGAGGACCCCAGGACCCCACTCTGGGTGACCTCGGCATGCTGTCTAGGGATGCCCGGGGAGGTCCTGGCCTGGATACCGAATCCACACAGCAGCCCCCAGGATGGGTCAGGCGGGGATGCTGAGCCAGTGGGGCGGGGGGGGAAGGGGCAGAATCTGCCCAGGCCTTGAACCCTGGCTGAGGCCAACCCCTCCAGCTGGCCCGTATGAATCACCGGGCAGGAATGAATGGAAGAGGAAGCTGTGTCCCACAGACCCCACCCAGACAGCAGCAGGTACAGTCCCTGTCTCCAGTGGATTCCAGCGTGGTGACCCCACCCTCTGGCACCCCTGCCACAGTGGGAACGCCTGAGCTAAGGGACAGAGGGAGGGCAGAGGGCCTGTGGTCACCTGTCACGTGCCAGGGAGGTCAGGGGACAGGGTCTCCAGGGCGAGAAGAGCGGCGGCTCAGAGATGGGACAGCGGGGTTGGTCTGTGCATGGTCCTATTTTGAAGACGATCTCTTTTATTTGAAAGAGAGAGCTTCCGCCCCCTGGCTCATTCCCCAAATGGCCACAGCAGCCGGGGCTGGGCTAGGCCAAAGCTAGAGGCCAAGAACCCCCTCGGAATCTCCACACGTGGGGCGTCACTGTTGGAAGCAGAGCAGCTGGGACTGGGAAGCTGGACCCCAGGGTTCCTTGCTCCTGGGGTGCCCCAGGTTCACTAGGAACTCCAGAAATGGTGGCTTAACGCACGCTGTGTGTCACTCAGACCTCAGGCTCGGCCCCCTGAGCCAGGGCGATGTGGGAGATAAGCTACAGACGAGCAGGATGCATACGGTGGAGTGGCAGCCCCTGCAGCTTTGGGGTTTGAGGCAGGTGCCAGCTGGAGCAGCAGTAGGTGCGTGCCTTCACACCAGGAGAGCTCGGCCACTGAGTCAGGCTCCGAGAGGCCACGCCCAGCAGGACAGGGGCCAGGCAGGGCACAGGGCAGGACACGGGAGTGGCCGTGAAGGCAGGGAGGAGGCCGATGTGGGGAGTGCCAGGGGAGTGGCAGAGTCACCTGGCGTCCGCTGGGCCCTGATAGATACACACAATGCAAGCTGCTGGGTCGACCAGGGACCCAGGGCCCACTGGATGTTTCCAGCTTTGTACAGCGTTGGGTTCACGCTAACGCCTGTGGCACCCATCCCGCCGGACAATGTCCTGTGTTCTACAAGGTCCTGAACTTTCCTGTCACCAGCCCAGGTCCGGGCACTTCATCTGTCTGTGAGCCCTCCGCCAGGCCACAGGGCACTGACTCGCTCCGTGGTGTCCTTCCCCCTAGGTGAGCCAGAGGGCAACCCTCTCGCCCCCACCCCCCAGGAAGGATGGCTGGGGCCAGGATCGACAGGGTGACCAGACACCCTATCTTCAGCATGCCACACTCGGCCCGTGTCACCGGCCTGGCACTCGACGAGGATGCCAGCTATACCATCGAGCTGGTGGGCGTGGGCTCCGAGGCCGGCGGCTGGAGACGAGGCGAGCCCGAGGCCTGGCCTGAAGAGCGCAAGGTCCAGCTGGAAGAAGGAGTAGGCAGGAGATGGGTATCCTCCAGCAGCGAGCGGGCCTTTGCCGGCCAGCCCCTCTACCTGTCTGAGGAGGAAGAGGAGAAGGAGCTGGCTTACTACTTGGGGCCCAGGGGTGCTCCCGCCAGGTGGCCGCAGGAGCCAGAGCAGGAGCGCTGGACTGTGGTCCAGGAGCAGGTGGTCAGCAGGAGTGGCCCAGTAGCTTCTCTCGGGGCCTCCGCGGCAGGGCACGGGGATGTCCAGCCTTCGTTCATGCTCCTGGAGGACAGTTCTGTCGACAGAGAGCAGATCGACTTCCTGGCGGCTAGGAAGCAGTTCCTTCTCCTGGAGCAGGAGAACGCGGGGGTTCCCTGGAGTCCCTCGGCCAGGGTCAGTGCGGCCCCCAAGGCCTTCAGTGGGCACCGCCTGGCCAATGGGCACGTCCTCAGCGCGGAGAAGGAGGTGGACACCGAAAACCTTGAGCGAGGCCGCAGCTGGCTCCCAGCACCCCGGGATCCACCCCGGGACGACCCCGGCCGCAGCAGCTGGCTCCTGGCATCCCGGGAGGACCCGGGCCGTGGCGGCTGGCTCTCAGCGCCCCCGGATTCACCCCAGGAGGACCCTGTGGCGCCCGCAGAGCCCCTCAAGGAGACGCCCATCGAGCGGGAGATCCGCCTGGCCCAGGAACGCGAGGAGGCCCTGCGCGCGCAGCGGGGGCTGCGGGGGACGAGCGGCGCCCCGGAGTTGGTGCACATCCCCACCCGGCAGCTGCTGGCTTCGGTGACCCTGAGCGAGGCCCCACGTCGCGAGCGCGGCCGCCCCTCGCTGTACGTGCAGCGGGACATGGTGCAGGGCACGCAGCGCGAGGAGGACCACCGGCGGCAGGGTCTGCAGACGGGCCGCGCGGCCACTCCCGACGCGCTCGACGGGGAGCGCCAACCCGGGCTCCGCAGGGCCTTCAGCTCGGACTCCATCCTGAGTCCCGCCAGCCCGGATGCACGCGCGTCCGACCCCGCACCCGAGGTGCAGAAGGTGAACCGCATCCCGCCCGACGCCTACCAGCCCTACTTGAGTCCGGGCGGCCCCCCACTCGAGTTCTCCGCCTTCGGAGCGCCCCGCCGGCCTGCCGGGGCACACACGCAGGCGGTCAAGGCCACCACCACCACCACCACCACCATCACCACTGCCCCGAAGCCTCCCGGGGAGCCCCTGCAGGGCGCCGGGGCCGTGGTGCGGGGCCAGTACTTCCGCCTGCAGCCGCTGCGGTTCGGGGTCCCCGGCGCGGCCCCGCCGGTCGAGGAGACCCCCCGAGTCGGGGCCCGGGAGGCGGCCAGGGCATGGGAGGCTGCAGGGGCCTCACCATGGCGGCTGCAAAGGTCCGCGTCGTCCGACCTGCTGGAGCGCGAGGTGGAGAGCGTCCTGCGCCGTGAGCGCGAGGTGGCCGAGGAGCGCCGGGGTGCGCTCCTGTCTTCGTCCGCCGATGAAGGCTGGGAGCCGGGCTCCAGGAGCTCCTCCCGGGCATCCGGTGAGCCCTTGGTAGATGGGTGGGCGGAGGGGTGGTGCCCGCGGCAGCCTGCATCCCCCTCCCTCCTGGCCGGGCCCTGGGACTGCCCACTGCCTCCTGGCTGGCTCCTGCAGCCGGTCTGCGCGCACCCCTGTCCCGGCTGAAGCCCCCTCCACCTCCGCTTCCTCCCTCACCCTCCAGGCATCACAGGAAGCTACTCCGTGTCCGAGTCGCCCCTGGTATCCCCCATCCACCTGCACTCAGGGCTGGTGTGGCGAGCTGAGGCGCCAGCAGAGCCCGCTGCCAGGCCGACAAGAAAGTCGTGGGTGAGTCTGTCCCCTGAGACCCGCCCCCCGGGGTAGCGGGCGGTGTCCTGAGACTCCAGCCCCTCCCAGCTGTGAGCACTTGCCCCTGTCCCACTGGCTCAGTCCCCCTATTAGGACTTCAGGGAACAGGGCCAAAGGGTCAGCTGCTCGGGAAGGACATGGTCACTGCCACTGGCGTTGGATAGTACATGGCACCTTTGCCATCCCCAGTGGTCATGCATGTGCCCAGCCCTGCAGCTCAGAGACTCCACACCAGTGACCACAGGCTACGTTCTTCCCTGGCTGGGCGCCCCGGCTCCCCCTGCCCTGACACCTGTCACTCCGCCAAATCCGACGCTAGGCTCCTCCTTGGGAAGAATCCCCCATGGTGTGGCATGGCAGGTGACCTTGACGGGGACACCTCCTCCACCGCCCCAATGATGCCAAGGCCAGCTGTGCCTGGAGCACACTGCAGGCCATGCCTGACTGCGTTTCTTCTCCACAGTACGCGGGCATCAACCCCTCAGATGGTATCAACTCAGAGGTGAGTACCCTCCAATGGCCAGGGTGCCCATCCCGCCCTCCCCATGCAACCCATGACTGGCAAAAAGTCCTCCTCGCCCCCCAGAGTCTGCTGTGATTGGCTGGCTGGTAATGCGTGCGGTGTCCACAGGGGGACCAGAGGCCCCCTAGGGAGCATCCCCGGCCACTGCTGAGCACTGGTCCACGCTGCCCCCACGGAGCCCTGGAGCGGCTCCGAGAGAGAGGCAGTCAGTGGCCTGCCTGGTTGTGCTCCATGTGGACTCGTCTCCTGTCCTGCAGGTGCTGGGAGCGACACGAGTGACGCGACACAAGAATTACCTGGCGGAGCGCTGGGAAGCTGGCATCTACGCCAGTGAGGACGAGGACTGAACCCCGGGAACCGGGCCTATGGCTATGGCGCAGGCATGTCCCTTCCCTGGGGTCCTGCAGCGGGAGGAGGCTGGCTCCCCACACGTGGCTCTGGGCCCGACTTGGCATGACATGGGGAGCATTTTCCATTCTAAACGGGCGGACTGAGCCCCAGTCCTGCTGGGGGAGGCCGCCGCCCCCGCCCCCAGACACCCAGCACCCCTGGGCAGAGCGTGACCGGAAGAGAGCCCCCTCAGCTACAGGAAGAGGCCTCCGTGTGGGGGTGCAGGGCACTGTCTCCCCACTCCCAGACTGCCTGTCTACTCACACCGAGAAATAAACCTGTAGTGAGATGCCAGCCTGGCGCCACCCTGTCTTGTGTGGACAACATGCCCGCCTGGCACCTGCATTATCCTGGACACTTTAGCTCCCTTCCATCCCGCACAGCTGAGCCCCCAGGGGATGTGAACAGGGTGCTGCGTGGAGAAGAGGGTGGCACCAGGGTCGGAGTGCAGGTGCTGGACCCACGTCCTCGCTGTGGGGCTTACTCGTCATGCAACACAAGGTCCCCTGCACAGGACGGGCATTGAGCTAGCATGACTGCGGGGTGTGCAAAAGGCTGTGTGTCCCATGGAGACCACCCTGCTCACGGTACCCGCCCTTCCTCATGGCACCCAGCCTCTCGGCACCCACCCTGCCCCCTTGGCACCCACCATCTCTCATGGCACCCACCCTCCTCATAGTACCCACCCCCTCGGCGTCCACCTTCCTCATGGCGCCCACCCCAGTCATGGTGGTCTTGCAGGGTCTGCAGTTTTGCTTCCAGCTGAATTTGCTCCCCTGAGATGAGAGGTGACTCCTCCCTGTGGTCCTTCAGGGGACGTCCAAGTTCCTGCCCTGCAACAACTTGAAGGATCCCTAAGGCTGAGGGGACTGGAGGGGCTGAGGGGTCCCTGAGGCTGAGGGGACTGGAGGGGCTGAGGGGACTGGAGGGGCTGAGGGGTCCCCGAGGCTGAGGGGTCCCCAAGGCTGAGGGGACTGGAGGGGCTGAGGGGTCCCTGAGGCTGAGGGGTCCCCAAGGCTGAGGGGATTGGTGGGACTGAGGGGTCCCTGAGGCTGAGGGGACTGGAGGGGCTGAGGGGTCCCCGAGGCTGAGGGGACTGGAGGGGCTGAGGGGTCCCTGAGGCTGAGGGGACTGGAGGGGCTGAGGGGTCCCTGAGGCTGAGGGGACTGGAGGGGCTGAGGGGTCCCTGAGGCTGAGGGGACTGGAGGGGCTGAGGGGATTGGTGGGACTGAGGGGTCCCTGAGGCTGAGGGGACTGGAGGGGCTGGGGGGTCCCTGAGGCTGAGGGGACTGGAGGGGCTGAGGGGATTGGTGGGACTGAGGGGTCCCTGAGGCTGAGGGGACTGGAGGGGCTGAGGGGTCCCCGAGGCTGAGGGGATTGGTGGGACTGAGGGGTCCCTGAGGCTGAGGGGACTGGAGGGGCTGAGGGGTCCCCGAGGCTGAGGAGACAGGAGGGCTGCAGGTGTCGGAGTCCAGCTCCAGCTGTGGATGAGGCGCAAAGAGGAAAGAAAGTCAGACCACTAGGGTTTCATGATTATGATGGACAATGCCGGGAAGCTGTCCGCTTTATTTATACAGAAACAGTCGATCTCTGGCTCAGACTTTCTACGTCACGGGCAAGTGGGTGTTTCTAAGGATACTTCTGCCATTTGTTTACCTAAAAACAATAGAAGTTCCTGCTACAATTCTTATTCTACAACTTGATCTTGTGTCACAAAGGAAAGGAGAACCTAAAAATCAGGAAAGAATGAAAGCCTCAATACAGGTCCTTGGATTAGCATAAGGTCAATGGGGACAGCCAAGACGGCAGGAATAATAGAAGGCCTTTTGCAAGACATTATTAAAGACATTCACCTCCAAGCTCCTATTGAGTAAAAAAAGCCAACTCCACAGCAGAAAACAACGCCTGAATGGATTAGAATTCTTCCGCAGGGCGGTCCCGTGTCCATGCAAAGGAAGGTGGAGCTGCATTCAGGTGGTTGTAGAGACATCCGCTGGGCCCTGCCATGCAGGGGGAAGTTCCTTGAGGCCCTGCCTGCAATGGGGCAATACTCTTCACACCTTCGTGTCCCCCCACATTCACTGCACGGACCCCAACATGCAGGGGTCCCCAAGGCTGAGGGGACAGGGATCCGCAAGGCTAAGGGGATTGGTGGGGCTGAGGGGTCCCCAAGACTAAGGGGATGGGCAGGTCTGTGAGGTCCCTGAGGCCGAGGGGACCCCGAGGCCGAGGGGACAGGAGGGCTGCAGGAATCCGCAAGGCTAAGGGGGTGTGCGGGACTGAAGGGTCCCCAAGACTAAGGGGATGGGCAGGTCTGCAGGGTCCCCTCAGCTTAGGGGATTGACAGGGCTAGAGGGGTCCCCAAGGCTGAGGGGATGGGCGGGGCGGGACTCCGCCTGGCTCTGCGCCTGTGCTCCTTGGGGAACAGGGCACATCACCCGCTCAGGTTGGGGTACTGGGGGCCTGGCACCCATGGGTGCCTACTCGGAGCTGGCCAGGAAGATGGGAGAAGGCGCCCGAGCCTTCCTCCTCGGCAAGATGGGGCAGCCAGTGCACATACCGCACCCTCTGGGCTCCAGTTCAGGATAAGAAAAACACACAGGGAGATCCCTGTCGCAAAGTAGGGTGGGGTGGCTGCAGGCTAATCCGCACACTGATCACGGCAGGCTAATCCTCCCCTTGCAAGCGCCGGCATTCCCGAGGGCCGCCAGTTCTAATCCCGGCTGCTCCACTTCCCATCCAGCTCCCTGCCTGTGTCCTGGGAAAGCAGTCAAGAATGGCCCAAAACCTTGGGACCCTGCACCCGTGTGGGAGACCCAGAGGAAGCTCCTGGCTCCTGGCTTCGGATCGGCTCAGTTCTGGCTGTTGCAGCCACTTGGGGAGTGAACCAGCAGATGGAAGATTTTTCTCTGTCTCTCCTCTCTTTAAATCTGCCTTTTTAATTAAAAAAAAAAATGAAACCATAATAGATACATATTTTATAAATAAATAAAAGTAATAATAATAAGAGGAGCAGGTGTCTGGCTCAGTGACCAAGACACTTACGTCCAAGATGGAGCATTCTGGGCAAAGTGGCCATTCAGCTCCCGGCTCATGCCCACCCTGGGAGGGACACGGTGGGCCCACCCGGCATGCAGACATTTGAGAAGTGGACCAGCAGATGGACAATCTCACCATCACCCTGCCTCCCCAAGCAACAGAACTTCTAGAAACCAATGACAGAGTCAAAATGAAACACCAACACTCAGAAAACTCCCCACTCTCCACTCAGCCATTTCCAGGAACCCCTGGCTGCCCTGCCTGGGCCCTCCAGACCCCGTGCTTCTGGCCAAGGACTCCCTGCACCTCCAGCCCTGTGGCCACACACGGCCGCCCTCAGCCACGACTTCGGCAGTGACTGGGTAAAGGGGGAAGCAGAGACACCCAGACCTGCAGCCCCCACAAACTGGGAAGTGCCTTGTGGGTCCCTGGTCACGGTGGAGGGCGCCAGTCGCCAGCCTGAGCGTCCTTATTTCCAGAGGACATGGGCATGCCAAGGACACTCAGACCACTGGGCACCTGGAGCAAATGCGTGCTGCCACCAGGGGGCGGCACAGCATCAAGATTACAGGAACAGCGCTGGAGGGGCTGGCAGCTCCCAGAGGACCCAGTGCCCGGCTGGCAGAGCAACCTCTGCCTCACTCGGGCCTGCACTCTGGCCATGGGGGCAGCAGACCCTTCTAGGGTGATGGAATGTTCTGGAACCTGACACGGTGCTGCAGCTGAGCCAGGCCCACAGATGTCCAGTCCTGCGCTCCGCTGTGTGCACGTCGCCCAGGAGAGAGGACAGGCTGTGCTCACAGCAGCTCCCGTCTCACTGTGTGCTGGGGTGGCGGTGAGGCAAGAGCCGCCCAGTGGGGCCGCGGTGGGGCATGCTCTTGTCCACAGCAACAGTCGCCAGCACTGGCTGACCCCCAGGCATTGAGCAGGGCTGGCTGACGGGGTCTGGGGTTGACTAGTTGACTAGCACTCCTTAAGCCAAGCACTCTGCAGGGAGTGGGCTTGGGGCTAGAAGCACCTGGTCTAATTGGACTCAGCTGCATTCAATATGTGCTATTGAGGGTGTGGGGGGAAGAATAAACAAGTAGAGGTGAAAGGACAAATAAAGGAGAGACTTCGGAGAGACTTCCGCCATCACTGGTCTCCTGTCGGTGCCTCATCCCCCACACCCTCGCCGTGTCCGCGTTACTGGCTCTGCTGGCTGGTACAGGGGTGCAGGGGCTGGGGTCTGGCAGTGCAGTGGCCGGGGTCTGGGGTACAGGGGCCAGGGTCTGGCAGTGCAGTGGCCGGGGTCTGGGGGTGCAGTGGCCGGGGTCTGGCAGTGCAGTGGCAGGGGTCTGGGGTGCAGTGGCTGGGATCTGGGGTGCAGTGGCTGGGGTCTGGGGTGCAGTGGCCGGGGTCTGGGGTGCAGTGGCCGGGGTCTGGCAGTGCAGTGGCTGGGATTTGGGGTGCAGTGGCTGGGATCTGGGGTGCAGTGGCTGGGATCTGGGGTGCAGTGGCCGGGGTCTGGGGGTGCAGTGGCCCGGGTCTGGCAGTGCAGTGGCCCGGGTCTGGGGTGCAGTGGCTGGGATCTGGGGTGCAGTGGCCGGGGTCTGGGAGTGCAGTGACTGAAGGGGTTTTGGTGCTGTAGTGACTGGAGGTGGACTGTAGATACCCTGAGGCCTGGCTCCAAGGGACAGGCTCTCCCCCTCCCGCGGAATTCCTGGCAGAAGCTAATTTCAAACAAACAAGCAAACAATGAGTGGATGGGAGACAGGGAGGAATGTGGGTGTTCCTGCCGCTCATCCCCTCTGTCTGCCAGCCAAGGCCGACCAAGTCGTCTTGGTCCCTGTGGGAGATTCGAAGGCCTGGGGGGGTGGGGAGCAGAGGGACACCCCCAGCGCGTTCCCTCCCGGCGGCTCTGAGTCCCAGCCCCCCCATCCTCAAGGAACCACGTGGAGTGCGGAGGCCCCGTGTGCTGGCTGGACCTCCCGCCCCTCCAACAGCTCGGTATCTCGGTTTGTCTGCCTTCCTGCACAGTCTAGAGTA